GGGAGTCTGGGCAGGCATGGGGAGGGTCCGCGTCTGGGTCAGAGACAGCGGAATGCGAGGAGGAAGTGGACGAGGGCAGATCTTAACCACACTGCCCCTGTCCTGCCCTGCGCCTGCCTGCGGGCCAACCCGGCCACTTTCTTTGGTTCCACGCAAGGTCAAATTCATGCAGTTGAGATTCTGTTCAGCCCTCAAGGTCCGACGCTGACATGCCATCCTCTAAGAGGCCTTCCTTGCTCCGAGCCCTGAGACCTCCAGCTCCTTTACATGATTCACAGAGCGGGCGCACAGGATGCCTGGGCTCGGTCTGACCCGAGTTCAAATCCCAGCTCCACTTACAAGGCCATGACCTCGGGCAAGTCATTTCACCGCTCCGCTTCTGACACCAGCCCCTGCTTCGACCGTGGAAAGCATGGGAGGAAGCAGTCAGTACCCGCTGGAAGGCTGAAGGCTGCTAACTGTGACCGCCTGTTCAGTGGTCAATTCCAAGTGCCCCAAAGAGCAGCTCCTGTTTGCTAACCCGGGGTAGTACTGCTTTCAACAAATTCTAAGGGTGACCCTCAGGTGGGAGTGGGGAAGCTGCTCAGGGGACACCAGCCACAGGGCTCAGCTGGCAGTGGAGGACTCCCCCAGCTGGCTCCCCCAGAGCAGCGGTGGACACAGCCTTCTGCCTGCCGAGCCCCACCTAACTCCATCCACCTCCAGCTCTGCGTGCTCCGCAACAGTGAGGTCGAGGTTCACAGCATCAGACCCAACAGGCGCCGGGGTGACAGCAGACAGCCCCAGACTTAACTGACATCTGTGCTGCCAGAAGCAGAAAATTCGAGCTCCAGTCTGGCTGGGTGCCCATAATGGCTTCATGCTCCTTAGAGGCAGGGACAAGAACCAATGCTACATTCCCTGATGTCTGCACGATGCTATACACTCAGCACACGTCTGCTAAAGTGAACAGCAAAGGGCTGAGAATTTGGGGGGTGGTGGAGGCTTTTCACAGAAAGAGGAAGCATCTTCTGAACCCTGGCTTGACAACCGCCTTTCGACCAACAGTTGAGAGACCCCAGAACTAGTGGGACATTCAGCTGGACCCTAAGGCCAAGTCAAAGAGGGAGAGGGGACAGCCAAAGTAGCCTTGTCATCGGAAAGGTGCGGGAGCCTCTGCCACCCACAGCCAGGCAGAGAATATGGTGCAGACTTGTTAAAGACTGCCTCTGTGCTCAATTCTACCCCACATGGCTCCAAGGAAGCAGGACCACCAGGTGGAGGCTGCCAACATCCTGCAGTTCCCCTTCCTCCTCTCTGAAAATGTCAGCAGCTTGTCCAACCCCGTTTCTTTGCAAGGGACACCGTGAGGGCGACACAGGCAGCCTTTGCCCAGAGGGACATCATGCTCTCTGCCAGAGTCTTTCATTTACAAACACTTTAATGAGCCACCAAAGTGAACATATCCATAGGGACGTCATCCGCCCATGTGCCAGTACAGCAAGGTGTGTGACACACCTGACGAGAAAGACCACGCTTTGTGTTCCGCTTACCTAACCTCAGAGACAGGCCAGGAGGTCTTCATTCCAGCATTCCCTGGGGATGATCTGGCGCTGTCACAATTGTGTCTGCACGGATTCCAGAATTCCACTGTTCGGGGCCATAGATAAAGGCCCATAGATGAGCAACTGAGCAGAGGTCGATATACCTCCAATTTAATGTAAACGTATAGATATAGAGAAAGATATAAAGATATAGGTATGTTACTGAACCATTGTTTCCTGAAATGCAGTGTCCTCCTGGCTGACCCTGGAAGCCCCTGGACCCAGGACCACGAGAGTCAAGATTTCTGAAAAGAATCTTGGAACCAGGGAAGCTGGGACCCCTCCTCAGTCCTGATGATTACAAATGCGTGAAATCCCTCTGTACTCCGCCTCCCATCACCACGACAACTGCGACTACCTGTGCTTGAAGTAAGCTCACAGCTTGAAAAACAACCCTTCTGCCCGGAGGCCTCCTGCCTCCCCACCCACGCTGAGTTCAGTTGAACAAGGCCCCCACCCATGGCCGGAAGAGCTGATCGTCCAGACTGTCCAGGGCTGGCTGACACCCACCAGCTGGTTTGGGCAGATGCTCTAAGCATGGCACGGGGTGCCTTCTAGACTTGGTTCTTTGATTGAGACTTCCTGAGTACCACGGAGATGAGAAGGAAAAAAACGTCTGTTTAGCATCCAGTCAAGAGACAGGAAAGCCAAGAGGAAAATGGAGAAGGAAAAGAAGGCAGATTCCTGGCCCCACCTCCTCTCCCAGCCTCTTCTTAGCAATGACGGACGCCGCAGCAAAGCCTGAGCTGGCAACTCTACAGTGCCGGGGTACCCCCAGGACTTACAGTTTCATTCATTCACAATAGCCCCGAACTGCAAAGAACCCAAATGTCCCTCCCCGATGAACGGATCCACCATGACACGTATGTCCGTAGCACGCCACGGTCCCCGGCAATCACAAGCAACCAGCACCGCCTCGGCCCAGGGCTGGGAGCTGACACCGATGCGTACGCGGAGCACTAGGGGTCTCTTCCAGGTAAAGAAAATGTTCCAACCTGGACTGGTATGATGTTCGCAATACTCTGTAGATTAACTAAAAATTATTGAATCGTAAACTTATAACAGGTGAATTTTATGATGCGTAAATTATACCTCGGTAGTTTTATAACCCCACCCCCACCCTCAAAAAGGAAGCACTGATACAGGCAAGATTATGGATCGATGGCTCCAACATGCAGTGGAACAAAAAAGGCCAGTTTAAAAGAATACGTACCGTTTGAGTCAATGTTACGTGAAGTTCTAGAGGCAAAACTATAGTAATAAAGATCAGAGTAGTAGCTGCCTCGTGTGTGTCGGGGGGGCGCTACTGATGGGGAAAAGAGATGAGGCACCCACTCAGGGCACTGGAAATCTACATCCTGATCTGGGTGATGGTTACACAGATGTAAAAATGTAAACATGTGTGGGGCTTGCACTTAAGACGAATGCATTTTATAGACATATACATAATCATGTATAAGATATATACGTGATGTATATGCATACATTTAAAAGTTTATTATTTTAAGTGGCAAAAACCTTTGGTGCTCAGATTGTAACTGGCATCGCCTAAAAGTGAAGACAGTTCACTGGGAGCAGAGAGACCGAAGTCCACTCAGTGAACTCCTACTCAGCCTTCAGGACCCATCTCAGATTACCCCATTTGGTAAAGCCTTCTCTCACAGTTCTAGGTGTAAGTAACTGCTCTCATCGCTGAGCATCCCTTCACGAAAGCCGATCTTTACACTGAGAGCTGATGCTAAAAACATGCATGAAAACTTGCACCAAGAAATGGTTAGTATATGTTTATTAAACACGCACTGACTGCCTAACACACACACACACACACACACACACACACAGCCTAAACCAAATGCCATTTCAGCAAAAGACAGTAACGCCCACGCCCAAATAAGCCACTGACTGCCTAACACACACACACACACACACACGCTCTGACAGCCTAAACCAAATGCCATTTCAGCAAAAGACAGTAACGCCCACGCCCAAATAAGACACACTCTGGCAGCCTAAACCAAATGCCATCTCAGCAAAAGACAGTAACGCCCACGCCCAAATAAGATGTCACTTCTCGGACAACAGGATCCAAACATGAGACTTATTACCAAAAGGGATCATTTTTAACATCTCCAGCCCGATCCTCCCCGTTTTACACAAATCATGGGCAGAGGAGATGAGGGGAGCCCAGAGCAAACTCAGTGTCCAGTGGCCACTGCACTAGGCTCTCCTCCCACTTCAGGTCACCTCTGTCTGCATTGTCCTTGCCCAGCCTAGGGGTGGAGCAGGTCCACGTGGAGGCCCAGGAAACATTCCTTTATGTAATGTTTAAACTCGACTGCTCCGCCACCCCCCAGCCTGCCCCCTGCCTGCTGGGGCTCCCCAACCCCCAGCAGTAAAGGCACGGCAACTGCTGAGGGTGTTGGCACCCACAGTCCCGTCACCTCTCTGTCCCCGCCTCCCATCCTCCCAGCTCGGAATCCTGGAATCTCTAGAAACTCAAGCCTGCAGGGGAAGCTGCTACAGAAACTTCCCTTTGCCCAAGTCCAGGTGCCTGAAGAGAGGCCGGAAATGGAACTCTGTCCAGTTCTGCAAAGTTCACACGTGAAAAAGAGAGAGGCTGCAAACGCACCTCCAGGGAAAGCAGCTTTCGATGGGCGGAAATTGTGGGTGACATTTTCCCTTTAAATATTTTTGTACTAAGTTTCCACAACGAACAAACCCCTCTGAAAGGCAAACACACTTCAGCTATGGTGGGAGCCACTCGGAGCCCTCCCTGCCAGACGCGCCGGCCCCGGAGTTTCTCTTTCACCTCGTCTCAAGGGAGACGCCGGTCCCAGCGCCCCGCGCCCCGGCGGGCGGCGCCTCAGGGCCTCAGCCCGGCTTAGCCCGGGGCCAGGGGCAGGTCCTCGAGGAAAGCGGCGGGCCCGCGCTCTGGGCCCTCGGGACCCCGCAGATGCGCGCCCCTGGCCCACCCCGCGAGGCGCCGCCCCCCATTCAATGCCCCTGGCCTCCGAGGCACTCAGCAAGTGTGCGAACTCGCACACACGCACACGCAGTCGCACTTTCTCCTCCCCGCCGTGACCTGGGCCGCCGCCCCCAAGAGCCCACGTACAAACTTCTCCAAACTCGAAGCTCTGGCTGGAGGGGAGTCGTGACGTCCCCGCAAAGAAAATGGGAACCTCCCACCACCACAGACACACGTGTGCCTCCCAAGCCCTGGGCGCTGTGGCCAGGGCGGGCGATGCTGGGGTTTGGGGGCGGGTGTCTCAAACCCCCGCCTCACAGGAGGTGACAGGGACCGGGGGGGCGGTCAGGACCCGGCAGGGGGCAGCGCGGGTGGGAGTCGCTGAATGTGGGAGCCGCTCCCGGGGCGACCCCGACCCGGCGATCCTCTCCGGGGAGGCTGGGGCGCGTTACCTTGCAGGTTCTGGACGCGGATGTCGCTGATCTGCCCGATGAGCTCCTCGCGTTGGAACCAGTCCCATTCCTGAGCAGCCATGAAGC